CCCCAAAACCCCAAAACCCCAAAACCCCAAAACCCCAGTGGACATAAGAAATATTGGAAATTCAATAATAATTAATCATGGACATCCACTCACTCATAAAATCACCTTGTGAACCCAAAGATATCTGGGCTACTGAGTTTCATGCCCTTGGGGAAGATGCTAAAGAGTCAGTTCCTCAGATTCCGAAGACAACTAAACAGTTTGTGAACACTCTTAGGACTAACAAGGGCAAACCTATTATAGGAGACTTCAAAAGTAGCTCTAAACAAAGGGTTTGCACTGAGCATATCTGTGTTCCTCCTAGATTTAGAGAGACTTGTCAAGATTGTTCAGAGCAGCTGATAGAACTGAAATCAAGGCATAAAACTAAGCTCAAGGATTATAAGCCTATGACTTTCAACATGAAGGCAACGGAGAAGTGGGATAAGCTGGGGCTTAAAGCCCAGAAATCAGAGTTGCTAAGAAAATTACCATCAGATGAGATCTTAAAGTCTATGCTAGGCTAAAGGCACTTGGGTAAATGAGCCAAAGCTCAAATAATAACTAATTCATAAACTCTTACCTTCATCTCAGATTGGTCGGGTTAAGTGCTACTTGGTATATAAGTGAGAACATGAAGACATTAGAAATGGGATGAAAGTCTACCATAATGAAATGATATGTGAGCACATCTTCTAACTCTCTCAATTTCTTCGTCAAGGCTCCATTATCTATACTGAAAATTTTATAAAATTCTGATTCCTGAGTCTTATTTTTATATATTTAAACAATGAACCTCCGCATGTCTAATGACAACTTTCCTAGTTTAGTAACAGAAGTAATAGCAAGGATTCTCATTGTGTTGTAAGATGCCTCTGAGTGTGATTGTTCTAAAATTATATCTGACCTTGAAATAGCCGATTTCTATAACAATTTTGATTCCTCAAAATATAACAAATTCGGACTTGTCATTTCAAAATTCAGCTAATTTGTTTTATCCTTCATTATTTCTGAAAAATTAGAAAATTATTCTTACTTTCCTCTTTGTGATACTTAACAGATGAAGATCATATCAAAGATGTTTGAAGGAGTGGAAATCTTGGATGAAATTAGGCTTGCTAAAATAGATGCCCAGAGTTTTGCTGAATATTTTCGGTTTGTCAAAACACATAAAAATCTTGCTCTGGATGAGCCACAATATCAAGAAAGAGGAACTCCCTGGTTGATGCCCATTCTTAGCAGTTGAAATAGTAAGCCAGCAATTACAAATTTTACTCTGTGGTTACTAGGAAGGTACCTCACTCAATTCTTGAAATAAGAGAAATAGATTCTGTGAGAAATGGCCACCCTTTTAGTAAACTAGAGTTTACAGTCAAGTATATTACTATTTCGCATTTCGATGTATGCCTCTAGCTTTGATAAGTATCCAGACTTACAGCTTAGTGAAATCACATTCTTGAGCTCTGTATGAATTAAGGACTATAGAGATCAAGCTCCTTACTTCCTTGGTAGGATATCTACAGATCTTCTCTATCAGTTCCAATCCAGGCATGAATTTATTATCATAAATGTGTGCAAATTTTAATTGCCAGCACTCTTCATCTATCTTGACATATTATTTTGTCATGAAGAAAGGGACACTCCACTGCCGTCTTCTTAGAGGTAATAATGTTTGGGACTGACTTTCTCTTTGCAAAATCCATTATTAAGATATCCATCCAAAAAATTATGATTAAATTACTAATATGTTAATCAAAATATTGCCTTCAAGGGAAATAGTGAAAGATTTGTTCGATGATTATGCATAAAAATATTTTGGCATACACGCAATTGATCTCTAGTCTGGTTATTATACTCATTAGAGAGATCAATATGTGTTCTAGAATCATGCTAGCTCTAAGCTATAAATATGGGGAGATTTTATGATGACTATCCATTTCTATCAGCAAGAAAAGGAATCGAATATGGATAGAATGCTGACTCTCACCAGCAAAGCTTGAAATTAATAAAAATCACCGAAGTAAAAGCCAATAGCTCTTGCAGGAAGTCTACTCTATTTCATTAGCAAAGGTAGGCTAAGAAATATAGTCAGGTTTTCGGAACCCAACTTTCTTGTTGACCAAAGTCACCCAAGCTTTATACTATTCTACTGATCTATAGTATTTAATAGTCATCTTTATTTGCCTTTGAAATACTCAAAACTAATTTGATTAATAGCTAACTTCTCTGAAAAGCTTACAGAAGCCTAATGACATTTTAAACTCTTTTGCTGTCGAGCGGATCAGCAAGAATATACCTTCTTTAACTACCTATCTGTGCTAAGTTATAATAGATTGGCTCTATTAAAGCTTCCTCCTTCATATTTTCATTTCAATAAAAAATCTCCATGTGGGGTTTTGGGGTTTTGGGGTTTTGGGG